TCATAAGGAGCACTGACTTCTAGCTCACATTGTCTTAACTTGGGACAATAAGATGGTTAATACATTGGCATTAATAGATTCTGGTGCTGCTGAGAACTTTATTGACCAGCTTTGCTAGAGCTAACTCTCTACCTTCTATGTTAAGAAATAAGCCATTAGCCATTGAAGCCATAGACGGTCGACCTCTCCAGGTACCCATGATCACACAAGAATCCATTACAGTTGTCCTAATAGTGGGTGTGTTGCATAAGGAGGTCTGTGTATTCCAACACATTACTTCTCCTACCTTACCAGTAGTGTTAGGATATCCCTGGCTAAGAAAAGACACAACCCATGTATCAACTGGCAATTGGGAGTAATTGTCTCTTGGGGTAAGAATTGTCTGGAGAATTGTATCACCAAAGTACTTCCCATTCGTCTTACTAATGTACCTAATATATCCCCTTTGACCGTCAAAATACCTGAACAGTATTTAACGGTGAGAGAAGTTTTTGACAAAGGAAAAGCTGAATTATTACCACCCTAACCAAAATTGTTAAGCGTTCATTACACAGATTTGCCATTTTGTAATTATCGTTGGACTTGCAATAACTTTGCTAAATGGATTGTAGTATTGGTTCAATCTAAAGAACATTGCTACAGTCTAAAAAAAATATTTAATTATTTATAAACATTTAGTTCGGTTTAAAGTAAAGAGCTGTTCTACAGTACTAAAAATTCTTACTAGCTGTCCTCCATGTCCCACTCACCACTTGAAACATATGTTTTAAGCTGCAAATTATTTACATTTTAGGTAACAGTTGGTACAGAATTCTTAGACATCCCTACTTCTCTCCAAAAATGAAGTTATAATGTTCTCTTTATACATTTTAGTCTAGGAGGACATAATATCACAACATAATATGAAAAAGTTCATCATAACCCATAGACACAAGATCACAATAATCTTTCATCCATTTATTGTTATATACAAAAGCATAACAGCAGAGGTGAGACACAATTGCCTGGATGGAGATTCCTACTGTTGTTGATATGAAACTAGAAAAAAAGCTTAATACTGGTAACATTATACAATTATATAACTGTCAGCACAAACAGCTCTCTGGTAAACTGTTAATAATAGGGCTGTGCCCAATGTTTTTTTGTAAAAGCAGAATATTCAAGGATATAATAGTTAATATATAGGGTAACAACTGCTTGATTCCAGAAATCTGACTACCACTTCAGAGTTAAGTAGGGATTTCTTTCATAATGTCTGACAAGCTTGGACTTCAAATTGTTTTTTTTTCTTTTGGATCACAAAGGCAATATATATTTGTTACAGGCTAAAACTGATGGACCAAACTTAGCCTAAAATAATATATTATTAGTATGTATCCAAGTAACTACTATGTAACTGTTTTACTATCTACTACTCCGAGATATATAAAAGTCCAGCTGAAAACTGTAGAGACAACACTATTGTAACGGCATCCCCAGGCATAAGAGGGGTTAAAAGCCGTTTAGTGGATCTTCCCTTCCAGGGACACAGGCACAGCAACTGTAGACACCAATCCACCGAACCGGAGAAGCATATGAATGCCGTAAACAGCTGAACTGGAACCATACGAATGCTGTAAACAGCCGAATAGGAAAAACCATATAAATATGTTTACACTCCTAGCAGTCAAACTGGAACAGCATACAGTAAATCCCCCCAAGAACAAGACAAAGCTCAGTGTTGAGGGTCAAGCAGTGAACAGACAGAGCTGTGGGTTTATTGTTCTTATATACACATTAGTACCACCCACAGGGTTTTGGAAAACAACCAATAAACACATACAATACACTCAGACACTCCCACGCAAAATCCTCCCCTCTGCCCCAATGGGTAATGTAATTATCACCGGCAGAGAAATACAGATTTTCAACATTATCCATAACTTTAAAAGTATGCATCACATTCACATTTTCAGAATCAGCATACTCCAAATACAAACATATGTCAAAATCATCCAAATTGGTCCAGTGGTTCAAAAGATAGATCGTAGTCCTTTGTGACCAGAGGAAGCATGGCTTTTCTGCCCAAAACCAGTTCCACAGAGTCTTCTATCCTGGAGATAATTGGGAAGTAATCCAATTATCTCCAAGGACAGAGGCAAAACTCCATTGAACACATGGCAGTAAAAAGACAGTAAAATACAATAAAATACCCAAGGTTACATTTATGACATAAAATACAGACATGCAACAAATGCCCAGATAGCTTAGGTCTGAGCGCACATTAATACTGAATGGTGCTCAGACCACACACACATATAGTTCAATTGCCATGGAGCCAAAGTCTTTTATTACACGAATAGGCTCCATGGCATAGCTATCTGGGTTATATGAGTTCATTCAGTAAATCCGAGAATCTACCAAACGCCAGGGCAGAAAACATGAATAGACCTTTCTGCATAGGAAAATAAAGTATTTAAATGCCGGTCCATAGTCAAAAGGCAGCAGGCAGGCAACCAGGCTCGTCCAATGCACAGTGGCGAGATTGGTTTCGTCACAACTATAATTATATAAAAATCTAAATATCTTTCCACTGGCCATTAAAACACAGTATGTTTGCACAATAATTTTGTTTTTGGAGTTAAATTCCATGCTCCTCAATAACAGCAAGAAAATATCTAATAAAAAGAAGAATGAACTTGACTGATGATGTCCATCAATGTCAGTTCTGCTTGATTAATAAATGGTATAATGTTCAATAATTATTGAACTGTACTAAAAAATTTGCAATTTATTATCTGAATATTACCAAGGCTATTTAACCCATCTTGTCATACTATCTTAAAATAAAACTAATCAACAAAATATGCATTGTAGTACTTTCTCTATTTAAGAATAATTAATTCATTTATTATCAGAGGAAGATGTATAGTACATTGTGTCTTTTATACCTATACATTTTGTAATGACAAAAAAGTCAGGTCGCTCAAAAAGATCTTGTGTAATCAAAGACTGACAAAAAAAAGAAAAAAAAAATCACCTTAAAATTGGGAGTTAGAGAAGCTTACTATACTCATCTCTTCAAATAACAACCGAGTGAGGAATATTTACATTCAAGGATAAAATAGTTCATATGTGGAATAACAGCATGTTGATCCAAGATGAAATGTGACTACCAGTTTGGAGCAACTGGAACAAATACGTTTGTTTCCCTGTTTGTGACAACATTTAAAAAAAATCACTTAAAATTTGTGTTTTCTCTACTTTTGGATCAATAGCAATACAGATGTGAAGGTTGAACTTAATGGACTTAAGTCTTTTTTTTATCCTATATGTTACTGTGTACCTTTTATTAATTCATCATATATGTTACTGTGTACATTTTATTTATTCAGCAAGGAAACCAGTATATAGCTTTCAAAATTATGCAAATGACCATGGAGATTTCCTGACCTGATTCGTTAAGGTTTAGATTTGTCAAAATAGAGCAGTAGCATATTGAATGGAGTTGTTTTGTTGCCTTGATAAGACAGCCAGTATGCAACAGAAAATTATGGCATGGCCACGGGCAGGCAACTGACAACAAATGGCATTCCAGAGGCCAAAGACTCCCTTATCAATTATGTTCTTCAAGGCTCCTGGATGGTCTACCCCTTCACAACAACTAAACTGAAAACAGTGTGACTTGTCTATGCACAGTAGCAAGTGGGCATTTTTTGTCTAGTGATTACAGCTTCTGAGTGAGAAGAGGTGAACCATATCACATATACATTTTTAGGCTTATGTTTAAATATATGATGGTAAAAATTCTTGGGCTGTCTAATCCCCACTAAAAGTTTAAATGTTAGGATTTTAGTAAAATAGAAGTATATTGTTGCTTGTTAAATGGAGTAGCGTTATGCCACTGAAATCCGTTTATTTTAATCCTAAATTATGTTATGCTGTGACACCAATTTTTGTCAGAAACAGCTTTGAGCCTACGGGTGCATTGTACTTAAATGGTGCTCTTCACAGATGGTACAGATATTTTTTATTTTCTACATAAACCACCAGAACACTAAAACAGAACATACATTATAATCAGGTCAGCAATAATAAGAGTCCTATATTATTTTCAAGGTCAATTAACATACTCATTAATTTGTCATTAATCATAATCCATCACTGTTAAGGATATGTCATTTATTTTAAGATCAATACTACATTAAAAGACTTGTATTATTTTAACTAACAAGATTTGATTTTAAAAGAGTAAGAACTTTTAACAATAGAAATTAAAATATCTTAAAATATGAGGAGCAGTTTTTTTTTTAAATTCTTTATTTAAAGTCAAGATGAAAACCATTCATCAGAAGATATAAATACACGTTCCATATTCTCTTGTCATATTTTAATATACGAGAAAAAAAAAAAACACCAGCAGGGTTTTTACCAAAGTGGGCATTGTCAGGAATTTAAATTTAATGCCTTAATAGCCAAAGTAGGAAAGTCTCCAAGTCATCTATGTTTCCACTTTGGCTACTACGGGACTTATATTTGAAATTCACTTTGATTTACCAACAATTCTAATTTTATTGAAAATTCCTGGAGGGTGAGACATGTGAGGGGAATGTACTGCTATGATGCACATCAAAACGGTTAGAAGCTGATTATACAGTTAATTATCGTGCTTTTTAAACTTTAGCATAATCTTGTTGCATGTTAGACATTGGAGGAACATTTAGTTGTTCCTCCAGTGACCTGAAAATGGTACAGTAACACTATACATTAACCCATGTCTAAGATAAAGCCTGCCCGGCAGTACACTGAGAAAGAGATAATATGTAACCATCACTGCTTCAATATACACAGATAGTGTGTAATACAGAGAGACAGGTGCAATAGGAACAGTGTACTGGAAGACCTTGAAAACACACGTTCAGCACTGGTGTGGGAAAGTGTGATAATTAGTGATGTCCCGAACGGTTCGCTGTGGACGGCGAACATATGCGGTAAACTTTGACCCTGTACCTCACAGTCAGCAGACACATTCCAGCCAATCAGCAGCAGACCCTCCCTCCCAGACCCTCCCACCTTCTGGACAGCTTCACAATGAATGTAAAATGGATGCTGTCCAGGAGGTGGGAGGGTCTAGGAGGGAGGGTCTGCTGCTGATTGGCTGGAATGTGTCTGCTGACTGTGAGGTACAGGGTCAAAGTTTACCGCATATGTTCGCCGTCCGCAGTGAACCGTTCGGGTTCGGGACATCACTAGTGATAATTAGTACATGTGTAATAGGAGAGACAGGGGCTGTAAAGAGAAACGTATAATTTACAACCCATGCAGTGTAATGCAGAGAGACCAAGGCAGTACACTTTTAATGTGCTGTAATTCAAAGACAGGTGCAATACAGAGAGCTGGGATGAATATATTATAATATACAATCAGTATAATATCCAGGGAGATAGGTGCAATAAAGATATAGGCTGATACAAATAGATCTGCATAATATAAGGTGACAGATCCATATAAATAAATATAGGCACAAGGGCAATATAGAGATGTAATACAGGGCTAATGTGTATAATACAGAGTGAAATTGTTTACTACTCAGTAGGAGATGTGTAATACAGAGAGAGGTGTATAATTGAGGACTAATGTGTTTAATACAGCATGAAGGTGTGTAATATAGGGTTAATGTGTGTAATACAGAGAGGGAGGCACAAATTTGAGTTTGGGGCCCCTGCACCCTGACATAGATCCCAGCCATGTAATTGGTTACCCTGTTCACATAGAGCAGACATAGCGTGTTAGTCATCCAGCTCAGGATCACACAGGTGGACACCAGGAGCTTGGCTGTCCAGGAGCTCGGGGATAAGGCTGATCTGCTGAGTAAGAAGTCCCACAGAGCGCTGATGTGACATTTGACATCACATCACTCCTCGGCAGTACCCACACACATGCACAAGAGCTTGCCCTCAATTGGAGGAGAAAAAGTTCTGCATTCTGTCCATAGACAAGCAGATAAAGGCTTGCTGAGGACTAGATCACATCGGGATCAGCACTTTGATGTTAACTAGTTAACCTTCTCATTCTTATAAGTCACGGATTGCACCCGATGTGACTGTGAGATAATTATTAATGTATATAAATATAAAACATTGTAACTCTAATAATGTGCCATCAAAATCAGATCTGTTGTACTACTTCAGGGTGACTCTGGGTTCTATGCAATGACACCATTCCATGTAACCCTCATACACTTGTGAGTGTTTGAAGACAGAAGGGCAGAATCAAACATTAATTTGCTCAGCACCGATCACTGGTATGTCATAGATTACCAAGATCTCTCCTGGATAGCTGGATAGTTGTCCAGTTAACATTTTAGCAACGGTTCCAGAAACAGCTGAGGCTTATGCGCAAAGGAAATCATGAAGATCTTTAGAGTGACAGAGAGGTGGGGGTATGTTTATAGAGTGCTGCTGATGTTCTCCAGGATTTTAATTAAGGCATAACCAAAAACGAACATGTGCTGCACATCCATGTATTCAATGCAATTCCATCATGCTACCTAACTAGTCTGTCATTGCACAGCAACAGAAAGTCTGGGCGAAGTTAGAAGGGGAGGACTTGAAAAGGTTGCAGGCAAGAGAACTGCAGATTTTGCAAGCTGTGTTTAGATATAGTCCGAATGTGTTTCCATGTGAGGTATATCTACTAAACAGGAACATATTTAAATATATAACAAGATGATATAAGAAAGTGGGCACTCACAGAAATTTAAAGTAAAAAAAATGAAAAACACCAGTCCCAAGACAATCCACCTTGGCTGAGATCATCCAGTGTGACGAATTCAACCAATCCAATGCTTTCACAGTAGGAAAGCATTGGGAGGCTATTGTGCATGTGCATTTTAATTTTAGCATCGGAGTGTCCCTTTTAAGCCATTTAAAACATATGAAATTATAAGTTAATGCAATTAAATGTTTTAAGATTCAATAGAATTTGATATAAAAATGACATAATGTGTTCATTTTTTTAAACATGTAAAGCCTAGAGGGATTTTGTGTCATGGAGATATGAGTGCCATTTTCCATTACATACTTTAGCTAACAGCAAAGCTAATTCTGATGCCATTTGCTAGAATTTGCCCGTCCAAGAGTATAGAACTGTAAAAGTCGATCTGTAAGGTTTCTTTCTCTTAATGCTTGAACTGTATTCACCTGCTATTCTAGCTGATATTTGAACTGAGGCTCTGACATGTTCAAGAACAGCTTAAGGGGAAGACACACTTGGGCTACCATGCAACTATTGAAGTTTTGCATGTTTTCTTGCCTGGCAGCTAATTCAATAATACATCGATTTTCCTTGCCATTTTGGGGCATTAAACAAGCCTCTTCCATGAGCATTATATTTTAGCCATGTTTCATTGTGTGTTGCTAAATAATAAATGCAGCAGTGTTTGTTTATCCTGCCTTCTCAAAATAAGAATGAAAATCACATAATGGGATTATATAAGAAAAGAAAAAGAGACATGGATCACTTCTGGTGCCAGCTTCAGTTCCTAGAGCTTTACAGAAAATCATATGAAGCAAATGTAGCTTTTTATTTTTTATTATGTTTTCTACTTTTAGTTTACTGTAGTTGCACTATCTTTCATCCTTTTTAAATAAGATAGCGTGAAAATTTCACTACGGAAATTTTTTTTTTATTGAGATACTAGAACCAGAATATTGTGCGAATGCAGAGGTGTAGAGTTTTAATGTCTGTATGCAAATATAAAAGATATTTTTTATTGTTATGTGTATTTGAATTAATTTTATTTTCTGTTTCTGTGTAACTATATGTTTGGCCACTTGGTGATATGTAAATGACCGTGTATATGTATATAAAAGTATAAATCACTGTATCTCTTTTCATATATGTATGCATGTTCATGTATGTAAGTCGGTGGTGTTTTGTCTGTAATTTTGTGTACTGGTGTTAAATGTGAGAGACACACACACGTGTAGCTCTGGCTCCAAACCAAACTGAAGAAAGCTTGTAACTCTCTTTTCTAGCAACATCCATACCAAACAATTGCCCAAAGGCTGCAAGGCACCTTTCTCCCTGAATCTGACTTTTTAAATCAATGAGACCTTGTTTTATGTGTATAATAAGTACCTCACCACATACAGATTCTGTTTTTACAATAGAAAATGCAGTGTCAGCTGGATGTGGGAGGCTATGCTACCCACTGATATTACTGTGCAGGGCGACACATAGCTAAAGCAACTCACAGGAACTCTAATTAATAAAATGAAGAGATGAATAAATAGGATGGAAGGAAAATAAGACAGCAGTCCTCTCGCAACACTAGTGGTTATGGTTGTTGAAGTGATATTTAAAGACATAAATTCCTTAATACCTCTCAAGATGGTTGTCCGTTTATAAACTAGAGAGAGTTGGTAAACAAACAACCAGATCTTGGTAAGGCCTAGCAAGCGGCTGGCAAAGCAGTATTCTTCGAGGCTAATGATATAGAACTCGGGTGTGTTTGTGACTGAGATTAAACATAAGTGCCATCGAGACTGAAACATGTGAATATCCATAATAATTATTCATAAAACCATTCTTGAGAACAACATCTGGTATAATTTATTTATATTATTTATTGGTATTTCTATGACATCTGCTTATTCTAGGTGTTGTGAACCCTGGTTTAAAGTCACATCCTAAGGGGAAATAAAAAAAACTCTTAGATAATGTATGTTTCAGAAATGTACAGTAATAAACAACCAGATGTGTTTGTGTATTATTATGCAAAATAGGAAAACATAGAAAGGATGAATCTGCGATATTGTTTTTGTCAGATTCCCTCCCTGAGAGACGAATGTGTCACTTTATTCCTTCTGTATGAAGATCTATGAGTGGAATTTCATAATGTATGTGGTTCAGTTGTGCCACTGATTGATTTGATTAGCTTAGCAGAGAAGCCAGTGAATTCTCTTGACACTTTGTGGTGGCAGAAATCCAACAACATTTTTAATCACCTGTCCCTAGTCTGTAGCGTCAAACAGATCCTCAAGAAAACATGTTACATGCCAAAACTCGAGCAATTTGGATACGCTGCCTGGCATGTTTTCTTAACAGCAATCGCCCATGGAACTAAGGTGCTATTGTATAAAATTATACTAATTTTCATTATATCAGAGGTGTTAATATGCCTAGTGGATTTTAGTGTTTGCAGCTATGAATGGTAGCATGGACTTGACAATATAAGCACAAGAAGATCCAGAGCAGACTTAAAGGGATACTATAAGCACCAAAACAACTTTAGCTCGTTGAAGCAGCTTTAGTGTATAGATCATGCCACTGCAGTCTCACTGCTCAATTATCTGACATTTAAGAGTTAAATGTCTTTGTTTATTGTGTGCTTGCTACACCTCCTCTGGCTGTGACTCACACTGCCTCCTTTGAAAATAGGTTATATTATTACAGCACATTGTGTTTACTTTAGAAGTTATATCCTGCTCTGCCAACTAAACTATTATTAAGCATTGTTATAGTCTTTAACTGGTTATTAACAGAAGATAATACATTCTCAATTAAACATCCTATGCCATAAGGGACAATAAAAAATGTAGGCTCTTGGTATGGGGTCCCTTTAGATACGTTGACCAATGGGGACATAATCTGGAAGAGGAGGTGGCAGGGGATGAATGGGAGGAAATGTGGGAAGTAGCTGCAAAGGTGTCAGTGTGTGTGATTTTGCAAGAACACATATACAAGGTTCTATTCAGATGGCACACTAACCCAGTGCAATTACACAAAATGGGAAAGATCATGTCTGAAGATTGCTGGAGACTCTCTGGGATGAAGGAGACCTACTTGCATATGTGGTAGTCTTCTCCTTCCCTGGTGAGGACTGGGGGGAATTAAGGTGTAATCAGAGAAAATATTTGTTGGACCATTTGGATTTCACCCTTGGCTGTTTTTGTTATCTAAGCTGCTGGAAGGCTTTACTACACGTAAACAAAAATTATGCAAAAAAGTAACATTGACAGCCTAACCGGTCATATGGTTGGTTGTGGTTGAGTCACCCTTAGCTTAGAGAGGTCAATGCAAAAATAGATGAGAGCCATTTGAAGGACCAACTCACAGCTACAGTTCATAACTCCCTTTCATCCTTTCATAAATCATGGGAACCTTGGC